TAATTAGAAGAAATTGAGCGGACCTTTGAGTTAGACTGCACAGGTACCATTACCTTTATAGCCTATTAAACTGACTGCTTGTTACCAAGAGATCAAATTTATTAGAACGTTGACGATTGACCTCAAGTATGAATAAAATTATTCTACTAAAGGGATCACAGGGTCTTTAATGCACATCTATTTATTAAGCTAGAAATCAAACGAGTTAATCAATCAGATTCAGGAGCAAAGGAATTTGGATGGCGAAACGCTGCCTTAGTATCAATTAAATCTCATTCAGAGTTTAAGTTTATTGGGAACCACAAGTATTTCTTATTATTTTTTGTATTTACTTCAAAATGTTGGACTCACAACGTTGTTTGGCATCGATAGATGTATGTGATATATGATTATATGTACAAATTTATCTTGATGGAAAAGTAGACAAGAGATTTGCACACATCGCGTCCAAGTTACTGATAAGGAACAAATAAGATCCATAATTTTTTCGCAAGTTCATTTTACTGTTAGATCAAATCGTAATTGAAGTTTACAGTCGGTTTTATTTTTAGTAATCAATAAGCATTTCTTCGTCTGACCTCATCGGTGTTACTTGAATTGGCAAGAGCTAATTTGAGGCTACTTTATGAATAACTAAAACAGATATAAGAAAAGTTACGAAAAATTTTCTAGTCTAGATAATTAGGTCAGCCAAACCAACATTTTTCTTTAAAGTGCAGTTAAGTTATAATTTGACAGTTATTATACTCAATATTAAAATTCACGGCAATTTAAAAATGAATCTATTTAACATTTTACAAAAAATGATAATTTTTTGGCTTTGGAACACAACCCAGAATCGGATAGGGTTACTGATTGAAACACGTACTTCCATCATAAATTGTTCACTGATTTTGAATTAAAGTTTCCAGTTGTGACTTTTAATGGGTCCAAGTTAACGAAACGGACTCTATAAAAAAATTCAAACGGAAAATTTATTTATTTCAAATGGCAGACATTTGGATTGTTATCATTAGCCCTTTAGCTAACTTCAGGCTTTACAGAGGATGAGGGGGAACATCAAAGTGGCAAAAAGGTCGAGAGGGGGACAGAATAATGATTTGCAGATGTAAAAGAGACAGACAGGCACAAAGGTTGAGTGAAAGGTAAGGCGAGATCTGCTGAAATGGGGGAATATGACATACAGTGGGGTGATGGAGGTTAGAAGTCAACTGCCGGTTAATAGACTTTTTGCCGTATGAGTATACGTTGCTCAGGGTGCACCACGTGGAGATAAGTCAATCACACACCCCTCAAACGGAATATTTGACCTATCTTCTTATAGCAGAAAAGGAAATGTTTGAATAAAAAGATTTAAAAACTGTGCTTTATGGGAACTGTTTCAATATTGCGTCTCAATTTTATTAAGCAGGTAATTGAAAATTTTTCATAACTCCAATTCCATCTTGAAAGCTAAATTACCCTGTTTGTCTGAGATTTGAACTCAAGGGAAACAGTGATTTATGGATGTATGCAACGAAGATTTTTTTAATACATGCCTCGATAATCCCATGAAGAAGTGTCCACATTGATTTGAAATGAACGAAAAATTCACTTTTATTTTCCATGACTTGGTGTTTGTTACCAAAGCGGATTGCAGCACGAATAAGCCTTTACCTATCCACGGTTATTTTATGCCAAGATGCCCTCGTACGGAAAGGCTCCGAAGTTGGCTAAGCTGCCTCAACGGTAAAGAGGAAACAGAAGTCTGGCGGTGAGCATGCTTATTCAGGCCGTGTAGCTAACGCGGAGCTTATTCAGTGAATACACTTTTGACTATCCTGACCAAGTCTCTGGCGCTCACGACAGCACGAAGCATGAAATTCGTTGATTCCGCACTACAGTTAATACTGACAACTCTGATCCCCCCGCCCCCCCCCCCAAATCACGAATCAACAATTTATTATTATTTCATTATTGTTGAAATCAATAAGACACGATTACTTAAAACAAATGTAAATATATTGATTGAAATGATGAACGAGGTACAAAGTGATATTCAATGAAAGAAGAATATATAACTAAACGGATATAATGAATCCATATTCTTCATCTATATTCATATTTTCATATTTGCATTTATAGAGAATAGTGCTACTAGGCCTTGGAACGAGAATGGCCAGAAATGGAGATTGAAAGTCCTTTTGATTTAGGTATGGAAAGGTCACCGTCAAAAAATATCCCCTATAATTTGACAATTAAATTAAAAGCGATTAATAAATTTAATTGAAAACGTGCACAAATTACTCACATTTCTGTTCCATTTTGTACAACCGAGGGAAAAAAGTTTACAGTCGGCGGGGATTCCACATTCTATGGAGAGCAGAAAATGGTACCAATGTATATCAAACAATTTTCAAATTTAATCAAGTACAACTTACTGTAGCAAAGCAATTAATAAGTATTTTATTGCCATCTATGTCAGGAAGATATCCGAAGACCTTTTAAAATTTAATGGTTTCGTGAACAATAGACTTTACCTTATTCATTTTCAGATAGATACAAAGAGAATTGTTGAGTGCCTTGGGATTTTGACAAGATCCAAGCACATCAGGAAGAAACTTACATGCTTTATGAAATTCATCGTCCCCACGAATTTCAGTCTCAGAATTACAAATGGAACTTGAACGCTCATATTTTAACAGAAGCTCATTTGAGGCATTCACATACATTTCTATGTCACTGGCTTTGATAGTGTGATACTTTGGGGATTCTTTACCAAAATCTAATTTTGGTAAAAAACTAAGACCTATTTAAAATTTATGTTTATTAAAACAGACAAATTTGAATAGTGGTTAAATAAGAAACATGGGAAACAAGTTTGTCATTTTACCTGGGCCCTCTCCCAAAGGACATTCCTGACCAGTGAGAAAAGGAACTTTCTCATCAATTACAGCGTACAATACCAAAAGAATCAGACTCAAAAGAAATCCCAGGAGACAGGCATAATATATAGCATAATAAATTATAATTAGGACTAAAAAACTTTTATTTGTATAAGAGTTCATACCCCAGCTTAAAGGCTTTCTGTCTAGAAATGTACACTGTTTGGGATTGCATAAGAACAATCCAAATGATTGAAATCCCTTAGTGAACGAGCGTGTAACCTCCTTAATGTTTTTCATCCCTTAAAATGTGGAGTGCGAAATGAGCAACCGACAAAGGTCAATAATTGTTATGTATATTGAAAGATATAAACAATTGAATATTTTAAGAAATTCATCAATATATCATATGATCAACTTTATAAGGATTTGGCGTTGAGTTAAATGCTCATTTCTAGCAATAATTATTTTTTGCATAATGATATTCAAATGAATTTGTTTGACTATTTGGATTGAAAAGGTGAATAACCCTATAATACTGAGAGAATATAAATTAAGATTTCATATTTATTTAAAATTCTTATACTATTCAAATTCATTCATGTTTTGAAATCAGCCTCTTCCATTCAAACCAATTAAAACATGCGCAAACTATAATATGTTAATTAGTGTAAATCGCACAAAAGTATAGTTAGAACTCTTACTGTTCTTCCTGTCTGTCTAAAATTCGGCTTTTAATACTTGCCTTAAACGGTTTTAGTAAAATTTGCTGCCTTTGAAAAATTATTTGCTTGATTTTAATGTTACTCGATAGGTCAAATCTACTATGGTGTTGCATGGCGTCATTCAAGCAAATTACAGAAAGAATCCTAGCGAAGCCATTGTATAATCATTTATCTAGTATCGATTTTACAGAAATAAAGAAACATCCTCTCAGATTTTTGATATCTGGTCTGAAACCCTTTACCTTTTCCTAATTTGTTGTCTTTTAAGCAATCAATTTTAGCCATTTTGTACTAGTAGTAGATTAAGTCATAAACTAGTCTATTTGTGAAAAAATTTCTTATTATGTTTGAATTAATCTCAGCTCCTTGAAGTATTTGCAAAAGAAACAACATACAGAAAAACTTCCACTCTTCTTCATTCCGTTCACTCTAGCTTGATGTCCTTTGACGAATATTCCATGTTGCTTAACACCAACATTTTAGCTTGTCCTATGAGCTCGCTAGATTTTTGAATAATTAGTCATAAGGCTGAGCTTTTATCACATACGCTTCCTTCACTATCCCCAAGAGTTCAATATTAAGCAGAAGATCACCCTGTAGAATATTAAGACTGCATGGATTATATTGATACACATTCAAAAGTAATATTGCCTCCAATGACGATTTTCATGTATTTTATTATTTATCTGCAGTTTAGCTTGTTTAACTCAAATGCCAAAGAACCTTTTACATTATTGTTGAAGAAATGGAGATACTTGGTGATGACGCTACTGGCCAAAAGGGTCGTCTCGAATCTCCAAGACTTATGACTCACTCAAGATGAAAAATGTCATAGACAGCAGATATTAGAAAAGACTAACATGCAATATTATCTATATACATTATTCATCGGCGGTTCAGGGAGTATTTGCACATGCTTTAACGTGAACTCCCTAGTGGATGCCAATCAACAAGAGGAGACATAAATGACACTTAGAGAAGATTTTTTCCATAAAATCGGAATATAATCAGTGACTTGATTCGTTTTATCCATTCAATTATTGTGCTTTTGAATTAATTACCATATCACGTACACACTCCTTTCCAAGTTTAACCGTTAAGACAATTTACCATAATTTATTTGCCTCGATACCAGAGGCATTCAACCGAGAAATTTATACAATAGATGAGATTTTTGTTGCAAAGGCATAAATTTTGAGAGGATACGAAGATGGGTAAAAGAAGTAAGATAATTGTGTTAAACTCAGGTTAAAACATATTTACAAATTCACATCTTAGTTGACGATACTTCCATCTTGGCCAAAATCTGAGACAACGGGGCTGCATAATTTATCTAAAATGAGAACGTAAGTGTAATCGCTATTTATGCATTGCAGAATAGCCAGCATAACTATTCGCAGCTGAGAAATTATTAAAATATTGGTATAGTAATACCTTTTACGAAAATAATTTCTAAATTACCTTCAAGAGAAACGGTAGAGTAATTTGACGTAGGGATGGTGGCTGAAACAATGGTTTGCCTTTCATAAGAGGGTCGATTAAAATCAAGACTCGTTCTTGGCAAAGTTGTGCGTTTAGTTGGTCTAGTTATTGCAGATTCAGCTGTACGTGTAACAGAAGGCATAGTTACAAGTGAAGAGGTGGATTCAACATTCCTAAAATAGGAGATGTTTATTCAATGGTTATATACAATTGAAAGAGAAAGTAAAAAATCATATCCAATTACTTACGAATCTTTAATTGAATACCGCAGAGGTCTTCCAATGGAGCTAGTCGGTCTTTTCTTGCGATCTTTGTCTACTTTAGCTAATAGGGGAATGGTTACTCTGTGCAGAGCCCTACTATTCAAATACCCAGGTGTTGTAGAACACTTCTTCCGGTAATTCGTCGATGACATCATAACTCCTTCCAAGGCTTGGGCGGGCTGGATTGTTGTTGCCACGGCACAAGCTTTAGTCATATTCTGGTCTAACACAGAGAGACTGGAGGTTGAGTGTCGTCTAAACACTGAGTTTCAAAATATTGATTAAAATGCTATTTACTTGTTTTAAATAAGTAGAATGATCTTTTAAGAACTTACTATAAGCACCATTGCTTGACGTTGGTTTTGAAACTGATAACTCATCAGACTTTGCGGCAATTCCAGTAGCATTGTTCTGAGATGGGGCTGGAACTGTTACCTTTCCCATTGCACTTCTTGACTCATAAACAGACCGAACTCGGGCTAGTAACTCTTCAACACAATTTTTACTACTATTCAGCGTTTGAATAGTGAAAAGGGTGTCATAGAGATCACCATGGATGGAAGATTTGTGCCCCTCTGCTTGAGAGTCAGCTTCAGTAACTTCTAGCATTGCACGACGCCATTCCATATGCTTTTGTTGAAGGATACTTCTTGGTGACTGCCGATTAGGAAGAGCTGGGTTTCTCTTGTCTTCCATGGTCTCAGGCTCTTCTAAAATAGAATATTTTAATATAAGCGATATTAATCCATAATTTATAAAAACTCATTGAATTTAGTTCACTTTAAATGCAAACCCTTCTAATACCGCGGGAATTGAACTGGAACAATTATTTCATCCATTTATTGTGGGAAAAATCGCATTTCCCAGTCTTAATATGCTTCCCACCCAAAAGTCTATGATCATATCATCTTGTAAAAATTGTGAGAAGTAAAAACACCTAATTCAGCAATGTGAGTAAAACGAAGGTCTATTAAGTTAATATTTTTTGGGATCTCACGACTGCCATGCTAAGATTACTCTGGATGCTGAATATCATGCAATATTGTTTCCACTTTCCACCTTCTGGAAGAACCAATTGAAGTAAAAATCAAACGAGTGACCCTTATAATTAAGTGATCTGTTAATAAGCTCTGGATAAAACGAATGAGGAATCATTCGATAAACCATTTGACTGAACTATGAACTTAGGAATGTAAACACCTCACCAATTAAGCACTGCACAATCCGAATACATTAGCAAATCACTTGGAGCTCATTGGTAGCATGAATTAATTTGTAAACCATTTGATCATCTCACTGTAATTTATTGAGCCTACTTTAAGTGGAATTTTAATTACCTTACAAAGCGACCAAATCTTACAACTGTGACTTACCATACCTGAATTATCGAGTTAAGAAAACAAGGTTATTGTGGTGACATTAAATTTCGATATATCTGCTTTATTAGCTAACCAAGCAACCAACCATCCTCTCCACTTATTGCTTAAATCCGTATCGATAATGAATTTTGGTGGTGGTGGGGGAGGGGAGGGGTGGGGGTGGGTTGAGATGATTTTGGACGTTAACAAAATTATAATGACAAACAACTCAATTTTCTTAATAGCGTATCCAGAAACTCAACCTTCCTATTATACCAGTAGCAACTTTGTGGTACTTTGGGCATCCTTACCAAGTACAGATATCTCCTCGTGTGTGAGACTTCGCGTTCTATCCAACCTAGGAGAAGTTTTCAAGTCCTTCGACTTGCGCATTAGCACGGGAGTTAGTGATCGTCCAGTCATGGGGATTGGTTTGGCAATTTCATTAGTCTTGGAAGCAGTATTGCTCCTTCCACTTGGCGATTTGCCATGCTTTGAACGCAGTCGTTGGGGAAGATTTTTAAACGCCCTTGACTGCCTAATAATTTCATTCATTGCGCGAGCAGCGCGCTTTGTGTCACCAGAACTTAATAGACGAGTTGGAGTATTGGAGGTTAAAGGTTCCGAAGCGAGTGAAACTAAATGGTAAGAAACCCGCGCTTTAATCCGTGCTCATCAACTACGTCTAATTAAGCAATTTCGCAACTTACTTGACGTTTGAGTAAACTCTTCACTATCATCATTATCATCCAACATATCTACCAATTCACTATCGTTATCATCATCAGGATGGGAAAAGATTTCATTTGCATGAATAATAAGAAGCTCAATGAGACCCTTATAGGCTCCTTGAAAGGCTAGCTGTGCTGGCCTAGAGAAAATAATTGCAATAAAATGCAACTACGGAAATCGTAAAAGTAGTGCAATAACTAAAACTCACATGGAATAGCCATTAAGCTGACCTGGAACTGGTTGACAATCTAACGATGTAGTAGAAGGAATATCTTCAGAATTTTGCGGAGACGAATTAGGTGAATATGAGGGATTAAGAAGAGAAGGTCCAAAGATGATGGCCAAACTAGCAGGAGTCATTCGATTATGATGTGTGTGCTCTATCAATCGGCACAGATATCGAAATAAGAAACCGGCATTTCGTTCATATTCTAGCGGCATTTTACGTGCAATCTGCTGCAAGCGCAGTATCTGAACTGACTTGTCTTTTCTATAGGGGATTAAAATCGAATTTCACTTGATCTGCAGCTGGACATCTGGACCAGAGGCAGAAAGCAACTTACATTTGTAGCGCTCCTGCCCATTCATTAAGAAGGTGAGTAGTAAGAAGCGGTTGTGGGAGACTTCGGAGGTACTGTTTCATAGCATCAGCTATCACATAGTAGTCGTATTGGTCTATAACACTCTCCGCTCGAAGAGAATTAAGTGCACTCTGGAAAACATGTTGGTGAATTTTTGGTTAAAATTTAAGTAGAAACAAAGTAGCCGATTAGTAAATTTTCAGCGTACCTTCAAAGTGTCAACTTTGGTTTTGCTTCCAGCAATGCGGAAAAGGCCCTAAAAGCACATATACAAGCAAGACTGAATATGGTTATATTAGATCATGATACGCGATCTACCCAATAAATTTACTTCTTCACACAGAGCAGCGTCTCTGTTTAAGACTTGAATACAGATTTTCAGGGGATAAGCGATTTTTGCATGTGTTACGACTAAATGCGTTTCCAAGCTACGGCCATAAACAGGTAGGGGACATTGTTCATCTAGACAAAAGGAAGATATTTATTAATCCAGTACAGTTAAGTATAGCAGTCTCCTGAGGGCAGTAAGAAAGCAAAGAAAGACCTACCAAGTTCTGCTCTTAGTAGCGGAGCCAATTCATCTAATATAGTGGCACAAGTTCGGTGGTAGGCGGCGGAGATTTCGACCATTTCTACAAGAGCTTGTGAACATTCCAGCGTCGACATGGTCTCGAAGGTGAAAAGTTCCCTAAGAGCTTTTTCCTAATATTATGGATGTGTAAAGAACTTGAAATTTACCTTAAACAGTTGTGATTCAGCCTCTAGGTCTTCTTTGATGGCATTCAGCTGAGTTGCTTTGGCTGTTTTGAGAATGTTTCCTTCGACATTAAGTATCCCTCCAGGCGATCCTGATATGAGAATAAGTGTTATTATTTTGAAAAAAATTTTTTTACAACTTAGTTACAAATCTATCTTTTAAACCACTGTCATTTATCTGCGATTTGGTTGAATTCGTCTCACTGGCCTACTGCTGACTATCATCTTAACTGGCTTTTTCACAGTTCCTTACTTACATAATAGACTAACGCACATTTTTTAACTGCCCAACCAGAATGATTTTAGTATTTAATTACTCAAAATGTTCTACCTTGATTGCTACCCATTGCATAGAGAAAAGATAACAAATTCAGTCTAAAAATAGTTCAAAACGGAAATAACCAACTAAGCATTATTGTTACATGTACTCCTCGGAGTCGAGAGCAGAGATTCCAATGATTATCCAAACACTTTTAATGTAAAGCCCCCAGATTGTTAAAGCTTTATCTTAATGGTATGATCTAATGTGTCAAAGTACAATTTTCTGAATTAGATTATTCTGTTTATGAACGAGAAGTTGGTTTTACTCTGTTCGGAACTTGCTTATTAGGTGGATTAAGATGGGTAGACGGTCATGTCATCACACTAAAGAGCATGCTGTGTTTATAAAAGTGGTAATTAAGTTAATGCACTTTAATTTACGCATTGGAGAATGGGACACTGAAAAATTACTGCGCAAGGGTAAACAAATAGACATGAAAAAAAACAGAAATTACCAAATTGAATTCAATTGCACTACTGAAGTGGTCAAATTAGAGTACAAGGTTGAAGATACTAATGCGGCTCTCGCATGCAAAAAACCTAAATTAACGTGAATCAGCTTAAATCAGGAAATTAGATGAACATTACATAAAATCAAAAGGATACTGACTGAAATGAAAGTCAAGCTTTCAAATAGAATACGTATCGTGAAACTTTTTGTAATCAGCCTCAACTTCTGATTGTCGGTTTTACTGAATCGAAGATGCGATTGAATCAATGGAGGCTGTGCAATGTTTGGTGAGGTCATAGGTTAGTGGCCTACTAGCGTACTCCAAGTGATTGGGGCAAATGATTCGACTAGTGGAATCTGGATGACATAGTGGCAGAAATCTAGACTCTCATGCATTAAGATCCAGAATGTTACTACACTTCCTAAGGCGAGGCTTTCCAATATAGGCTTATTGGTTACGATCAATTTGAAAACTATTGCAATAATTCATATAGCTATTCATGGCTGAACAAAGATTCAACTGAATAAAATTGCCACGACCAACTATGGAATTAGATAAACAAATCAGCAAGTCTCAGATGTACCAGATATGACTCTACAAAGAAAGTGGAGTCATATGAATGAGTGTGCCGGTATTTATTTATAAGAAAGCAGGATAAGCTCATTTGTAACATATTTTACAGTCAGAATATTTCTCAATTTAAGTATTTGGAACATTACGCATTTGGTTTTAGAACTCCTGACACATTCTTCAGATCCATGAATAAATTGAATGACATCTCCTGCATTACTAACACTTTTACTTTAGGAATCTGCATTCCTTGCAAAAATTATTGCGAATTAAATTGCAATACCTTTTATCATAGTGGAGTTTGAATGTTGATTGTGGCTGGTTTGGCTTATAGGTGAAGAGGTATTCTTTAAGATGCTTTTGTTTGGATTTATTTTACATCCGCTACCTTTCCTATTAGAAGTAGCTCCTTGAGACTGCAAGCTCTCTAAAGGTGCCTAAAATTAGAAATCAATGATTTAGGGTGGTGGAATTTTTTAGTTAACCTGAGATTAGCCGATTATATACTAACCTCACTGTCCGGTGATTGGATCTCATCAGTTGAATAACCTTGAGAATGAGCCAATGAGTTTGCAGCACGTGCAGCTCGTTCACTGACTGAGCGCAATTCACCTCCTGCTCGCCATGCTTGTCTTCGAGAGCGCACCATTTCACTATTGGGACCAGTAGCTTCGGCTACACGTTTCATTGGGCTAATCACATTCTCCTGAACACGAGCTCCCCAGTTAAGTCGTGCTTGTGCGAGCTGACTTGAAGCTTGGCCGCATCCGAACAGCAAGTGACTGAAATCGTAAAAGGGAACTAATTTGCAACTGATATTATATAAGTATATATAAATTCAGAGGTTGGGTGTTCGAAGATTTTCACCCAAAATTTCGTGGATTTACATCTGTTCAGTAATATAATAGCACTAATAACGATTATTTCATGTTAGTGATCCAAATTATGGTTATTTTATTTAATAGGATTTAAATAAATATTAATTTACCATTCTACCCGTAGAACAAGAGGTTGATTAAAGTGTTTCACCATAATATCTAGCTAAGCTTAAATAGTTAATGCAATAAAAGGCAAAAAAAGTAATTTATCACTTTAAGAATATTTCCAATTAAAAGCTACTCTCGTTATTACTGACAATAGTGAATCAGGACTTCTTGTATACTTTTAAAATTGTCTTAAAGCTCGTTAGTGAATACTAAACAATATCTAATTGCTTTGTCTTAGACAGCATCCGAAAACAAAAGACAATTATTACCAAAATAATGAATAGTATTTTAAAATAATTATATTGATTAAACTTATTCAGTTTGAAAATAAAGGTCGATAGGTAACAATAAATCATTACCACAAAAGTACAAAATTACCGATGTAATATGATCCATTACCGTTCTTTATGACAATTAAAAATTGAATCTTATAGATTTTAAGCAAGCAGAGAATAAATAAAGAATCTCCATGTCAAGCGAGAAGAAAAAATACCTGGGGAGTCAGACAAAGGGAATGCATCAGCAAAACACTTTGTGTTATACAGTGTCACAAATAATTTCTAAAAAGAATGCATTGTTCGAGATATAAGATATCGTAGGTAGAGTGAATAGTCAATGAAACTGGATGGGTTCTACTGTGGGCACATTTTAGAGAAGACAACAACAACCCAAAGTATATAAATAAGATAAATATTGCATTCATGTACACACGCACACACTTATCATTTGTCTCGCTTCTCTACTGTCTTTTTGCCTCTTCTCATGCTTTTTTCCATATCTATTATTTAAGGAAATCTGATTTGCACTCAGCTCTCAATTCTTCACCTTGGAAAAGCTGTCGTTGTCTGTTGTTAGTCGAAAGTCTCAACTTCTTAAACCTGGTTTTTGCTACAATATCGAAGGGGCATGATCACTAACTCTGTTTACTTAACTGGCAAATGATCCCAAGGGCAATGGGAGAATGAATTCAACAAGGAACTTGAGTGACATTTGGAATGTTGGAACGTGATTGGACAATTGCTAACAACGATTTAGAATGAAACCACCTGGTGAATCCTGCTTTCAATTGGAGCAAGGTCGTTTGATGTTCCTATTTTGCTCTCTGTTTTCACTTTATCCCAAACCTTTGATAATTTCACTATTTTCTTGTCTATATCAGCGGTAAATTTTGATTACTTAAACTTTGTAATAGAGTTAAAATGATTTGCAAATTAAAATACAATAAAAATCTAATTCAATTACAAACAAAATTTGTGAAAATATTGTCTCATTTACCAAACAAATGTAGTACATAACCACTTAACGCGAGTGTAAATCTAACTTGAAAAATAAACAATGTCCAAGGAGTAATATAAATTATTTACGATCTACTTTTATACGGGTCGTATACGGGTGATCCCTCGGCCTATAAAAGACCACAATTACAGAAAAGAAAGAGAAGTGAATAAGCTTTCGCATCCACTGCATACACGTCCCTTCTAAGTGGATCTGAGTTTTTTTCAAGCGCTTTTATCCACTCACAAGGTAGGTAATACATAAGCCCAAATGCAAAACAAAGTAAGGAAAGCCGTGACAGGAGAGTGGCCTATTTCTAGTAAAAATGACCTATGTTTTAGCGAGAACGATCAGCGCTCTTTCTTAGGAGTTGAGTCATTTACCTCTTTGTGGAAAAAATGGAATTTTTTTGAAGAGATTTCCTGGGATGTTAATTTTTTAAGGAAGATGGCCTTAGGGTAATGCCACACTGGTTTGTTACTGGACAATTTGGCATGATCTATTTATTTCTGAAATAGTTTGCAAATTAGCACTTCGATTAAATTAGCTATCTCTAATATTAAATTCTCATCAATATAAAATGTTTGCAAAGCAATTCTCAGTAGAGCTTTGCATACATGTCAATTTATGGTCACATCATAAAGTTCAAAAATCAATTGTTCGGGAGCATAAAAAAGAGAGTTAAAGTTTATAGCAAGATTACATGCTCAGATCGATGTGATTAGCGCTGAGGAAAGTCGCACAAAACCCCCCGAGTGTTTTTTTCTTGTTAAAAACATAGGCAACTGTTTATGCATAACTCGAAGTTAGACCTCATGTTATACTCGTTTTTCGCATGTTCTAAATCAAAACTTTTGGTTAAGAGAAGGCCATTGGCTCTTAATTGCCCGGAAAGTTTACTTTACTTAATGTATGGAAGACATTTGTGACATAAAGTGGACAAAATTACTTAAATGCTGGAAAGAAAACTTTTCTTAAATACTCCTAACCTCCTCCAGCGCTAATGCAAAACACGAAGAGAGTGAAGTTAAGAAAAATTCCAATTTTAAAATTATAAAAATTTGAATTTCTTTGCTCTGGCCTTTTCCCTAAGCATCTCGCTTCAAGATTGAAGGTGACAAATTTAATTCAATTTCAACTTCTATCGTGAGACAGATCTGCTCACTCCCTGAAAAAATGCTAATATGTTTTGGATCAAACTTACGTTTAAATTTCAATAAAAGTTAGCACAAACAGGATGAAAATCTAAGCAGAGAATTAAACGAATTGAAGTTTAAAGTTTGTTCTTGAATTAAACTGGCACTAGTTAATGTAGTCATCAATTTATATATTAATTAATTTTTGTTTATATATTGTTTTGGCGCGAATTACTTAGGTGCTTACAGGTCTAGAGGCATAAACGCAACGTACTTAACCCCGTCGGTGACTAAACTGAGCAAACGGAAAGCCGAATTACACGAATTTTCATAAACCGAGTTAACTACCTCTTGACATACTCTGGCAGTTGGCAAATAAAGAACAACTGCATAACCCCATGGCTACGAGGCCCTCCTTGACAAATTAACTAAAAGAGCCAACACACACGCATTCTTTACTTGTAAAATGATCTGAGCGTCACCCTTTACCAGAAATTCCTTGACAAAAGTTGTGAATAGTTGAAAGAAAAGTTGTGGTTGAACGAGAAGTGGTTAGCATTCGGTGGCTTGACGTTTTGGAAACTTTCGAGTAGCCTGTTAGGCAAGAAAGCGTGAATCACGCAATTCTTCTCATTAATACAACAAGATTTAAATCCACCCAAAGCGGAAAACAAAGAGAATGTGGAAAGTAGGGATTTAATTAGTTAGCAATTATTAAAAATTAGTGTTATTTTTAACTTATTTACTTATAGAAAGGGAATTTTGTCATATTTGTGAGTAATAAATAAATGATGTCTTCGTGTTTTCTTAATTGGAATTTCGCACAATTACTAAAGCGCCTATTATCAGACTTCATTGTCGGTAAAGTAAAAATCGACAACTATCAAAAATTAAAAAGTTTCCTGAACTTTAATTTTAATAATTATTTTTGAAATTTGATTCTTCAAATCCTTAACAATCACATTGATAAATTTGGTCAACTTTCGCCAAGTGTTTATTGATCAAAAATTAGTTATGATGAGCAAGAAAACATATCTTATTCAATCACCTCAAGAGGTTTTTTTACTGTCTTCTTTAATATTACGATTATATTGAGAATTGAGAAGATGGCCTGCAAGCTAATAAAATTATAAAGAACCAATGAAATAGCTCTTAATGCATACTCATAACATGACATTTTGACCACAGTTCAGATTCCATGAAGAAAAGGCAAAAAATGAAATACCAACTTAATAGTTGAAAAAAATAAAATTATTTACAACAATTAAACTTCCTTAATGTCTTGTTATTAAGTAAAGTGGCAGTGATGGAATCCCATCCTATGCCATAAATATGAAAAAAAAATGATTGAAGAAGGGGATATTCGGGAAATCCACTATATTCCCAAAACAATTTTGAACATCTTTCAGAAGTCGAGGGAATCTGACCCAACTTCTATTTAGAGACTAATAATAGGCGAAGACACATTGCGTGGGGGTTGAAAGAGCTTACCTGAGTGTTGGTTGGAGATTTGCAAGACGCTCTGATGCTTCAAGACAAATTCGGGCCAAAACTGTTTCTGGCATCTTTTTAATTTTCTGTTAAGGCAAAAGGAAAAAAATACGGACTTAAGAAATTAACTTAAGCAAGTATGTGAAGAAAAAATTATAAATAATGAATTTAAAAATTTTCTTCATTATGTTTAAAATACTTTGGGATAAAACCTAAGCGCTGGGAATTTGGCCCAATTGCAGGGCATGAGGACAAATATTTGAAAATTTGGTGTAACAGTTTGTCGTGCACATTTTTTGTACACTTATTTATAGTGGGCAAAAAATCGATCTAATAAATTGCCAAAATGCCGAAAATACGTTCCGCTATTTGTAAAAAAGACAGAAACAATTCAGCGAAATATTTTGGAATAGTTATTAAAATTTTCTTCTTCCATACACAAAAGGTGGCATATTTTCTTTAAAAATACCCAAACTCCAAGTTGTACTCTGATACGAATATGGTCCATAAAATAGCTGTCAATATCATAGGAAGTTCAATGGGTGACCCAGGAAGTTCACCTGGTTGGAAACATCCACAATCTCCACATTTGGGAAAGGCTTGCTTTCAAGTGAGCCAGATATTAGTGCACTAACACCTTACATGTGAGCGTCACTCATCTGCCCTATCGATAGGTTCAGAGATTGGGGTGGCTAGTTATTGAACTGACCGAAATTTGAACAAGTCTTGACAAAAGTATATTGAAATGGGGTCAGATATACTCGGTGGTGTAAATAGACTTGAATAACTTTCGTCATACACTCATTCATTCATTATGTAAATCGAAAATATGACTTAACTTTTTTCTTTCAATTATCCATTGAACAATGCAGAAAAATTATGGGAAAACATTACATAATTATTAAAAGAAAATACTGATTTTAATTTAAGATCTTTGATAAACATGGTAGGCATTGCAAATAAGGCAGAGCTAATTTATTAAGACTATTAAAAAATAACCTAATTTTACTTTAAACGGAAAATTGATTTACTTTATTTTAGTTTCAAAACTTGTAGAAGTCAAAAAATGAATTAATCAAAAGCTCTGTTGATTTAATCAGGTGTTCTGAACACTAACGGAGTTTCTAGGTGTAAATTTCAATTTGACCGCTTTTTCAGCTGTTTCGCCTCACAGAGAACGCCTTTTTAATTCACTGCTCGAAATTGTACCAACTGACTTTGACACTGTCTTGTGTGCAAAGTAATTGATTGTGGAGTGCGATTAAACAAAAGTCATTGAAGGTCACGCTGAAGGATAGGCTTATGGCTCTTGACAATGACCAAAGGCGATCACTATAGGGTATTAATTTTAACAATTAAATTTACCTCAATACGCGTCTCCAGATTTTACCATTTAAAAGTATATGGATAGAGTGAAATTTGTGCTAAAAAAGGGTTAGTCTGTGAACTTCATTCAAATTTAAATAAAAGCAGATTGTTAACTACATTGATTGATTTTAAAGTATTTTATTAATTCGTGATTACACGGTATAATCTACAAGACTGATAGGAGACAAATTATAAAATTTCTGTGATGAAGCTAAAATGATGCGATAACCTTGAAATTCGGGAATCAAAGAGTTTCCTGGCATTATGCCTGCCAGTCGATTGGGCCCGCATTAGTGCAATTTCGACTGTAAAGTAGTAACATTATCGATTAGAATTAAACTGCCTATTTTTCATCGCAAACATCTGACAAAACCTTTTAGCTACTGTCCTAATTCGGAATACTTGAACGTAAATGCAATTTGGAGAGATAAATTAGTATATGATTATATATATATATATATATATATATATATATATATCCCAAGTGAAAGGAAACTAGAGATCGTCACGATTAAAGTGGTTCATCAACTAGTGACTGTTTCCACCTCCCATCAATGTTCCAATCTGAAATCTGACACAATCATTAAATACATATTATAATAAAAATACAATAAATAACAGCGAATTGAATAGAGAAGATTAAAATTTAGAAATAATATAATTGTGGGCTCATCAACATAAAACAACTAAGTAATGCCCGCACAGGAGGGTCTCTGTCAGGTTAGTATGCGGGTGCGTTCAGGCTTGAGTACTCGCCCAGTTAGTCCCCACAATACCACCCACCCCCCCCCCACCGCCCTACCATCTTGTTGGGACTGCCATAAATTATACTCTCCTATAAATAGACCTGTTAAAACAGTACTGAGGTGACTTCTGCAGAACTCCTCACTTCTCATGCCCTCCTATCTGAATTTTAGTGAGCTGTGGCCTAGCTGTTATACCCAGGGCAAGAATTCTATTCAGTAGAATAATCAAGCTTCATAATGTATGTACAAAATAGGTGTAGACAAGTGCAATATAGCGCGTAAAATTTGATTAAAAAAGATGAATGCCTGAAAACGCCTCCTTGAATAGGCATGGGAATTATAATAACAGCATAAAGTTGAAAAAAACGAGCGATTTATCTGAAGTGAAAGCGCTAATATATGTGCTTTCTATTCTGTTAATCACAAGTTGATAATTTGACAACGAGGGCACTTCCATTGTCTCCAAGTGGGAAAGATTAACTAGCATTTTTATCTTATTGTTATGTTGACAGTTAAGGTTACACCCTTTGCATTAATTCTGACTAGAAAGGCAAAGTCGCGTCGGAAATAGAATAATAGAATAAAATATACTAAATAAAGCATAGCATTGCCAATTATTCACTTTGAGTAAACCTAGTTTACACAACTCTGTTGGCTTAAGCTGTTTGACCATCTCATCTCTTCTTTAATAAGCTTGCAGACTGTGGAATACCGTGCAAGATCATTTTGGCATTTCCATAATTAGGAGAAAAAGTTAATTGAAAGGTCCGGGCTAACCCCTTCCTCTTGAGTAAAAACCTGCTAAAAGGCATTGGGTACTGTTTGCTATAATTTAGGAGGCAAATCACGTGAAAAATGTGATCGATTATTATGCACTCAAAATTGTGAAAGGCCGAACTATGTTACTATTTTTTTACAACTTATAGATGAGTACAACCCCAGATAGAGTTCACTGCTAACCTAAAACACCCAACCAGTACGAGCCGCCATTCAAGTCAGGAGGAAAGTGCCTACTTGAAGTGCGGAACATTAGTAGGGGAATGCATTCGCGAATTAAGAAGCAAATGGCTTCATTAGTGCTCATACGGTTCCTAAAATCTGTTCTCCACTTTTACTTGGCCGCTCGACTGTATTTCCATTTTCTAATTAATTGGTCTTCTTGTCAATACTTTTTCTTTCCCTTACCCTATTAAAAAAGTGCAAAATTTTCTCTAAATTCACCTGATTTTATAACTTATTCAGTTCCTGGGAAAATATGTTCATGAGTCACTCAGTTTGACTTTTTAATTAATAGTCCGCCACATAATGTATTTGAAAGCAATTAGCTCTTCTCTTTCTTGGAAAGCTAAATTTTAAAAAAAGAATTATTTGGCTTGGATTCCATTCTAGAGGCCAGCAGAAAAGAATTCCCGTCTATTGAATTTCGAAGAAAGTTGAGTTAAACACGAAATAAGGGAAATTGTTATGATTCGTAAGTAACATAAAACATTGAATAGCAATGAGATATAATACAGAAGTTCGTAAATTATTATGTATCTGGGATAGTAGAGAAGTAGATGTAACAGAAATAGCAAAAAAGTTTATTGATCAGAAGAAAATCGATTGAAAAATAGGAAACAAAACACTTAATGTAACTGTTTCCAGACGCACAAAAGGATATCAGAAGTCGATTAAAACAAAAATTAACAGTGTCGTGTCCTGGAGTGCTGGTATATACTGAAAATTATCTAATATCACCACTCTATGTTCATTGCTTTTTTTACCCGCATTAAAAAGTATGCAATGACAGGTCACTGTCAAGAGCGCCTAATAAACGCAGGAGCGATGACATTTGCAAGTCAGAATTCGAGAGTGGCGGAAGTAATCAAAATCTCAGATTATATTCGGTTTAATTTCTCTACAATTCATCCCTTGAAAAGGACGAGGCAAGGAAAGATATGCCATCACTTGACTCCGGCACTAATTTTATACAGATAAAAAAAGTAATATGCGCATTATTTGCAAGTGAAATGTTAATGAAATTAATAGAAGTTAAGAGAAAATCATCATTAAGCTCGTCATTGAAAGGATCAAGAACTTATTTGCTAATACTGAAGGTTATTGCTTAAAATAAGGTGAAAATACAATGGATATCACAAAACATAGCTGAATAAGTGAAAATAGTTCAATGAAATCTGCAAAGAATGCAAAACTAACTCTGATAAAAAGTAAACGTTCATGTCATCTGAAAATAAGTTCTGTCATTAAACACATTGACGTTGAGCCAAGAAGATTCAATATGTTGTAAAAAAATTCAAACTAACATTCCTATTTATTCCCATTAATTTTATTTCCTTCAACGTCATAGTTAAAATGTGGCATCTAGCATCACAATTTCCATGTAAATACAGACTATTTCAACGTTGTTTAAGCTTTCCAAGATTTAATAAACAAATCAATATTTTTAAATAGCTAATCTATGAAGTACCGAGAAAGGCATATTTCAAGGGGGGGGGACATAATTGTTATGCGCTTTGTTTGTTCGCACGATTATAAACAAATTTTGCAGTAAAACATTTTTATTACTTGTTGTGAAACAAAAAGCATCTCAAGCCTGATAGGAGGGAAAAATTTTCATAAGTTGTATCATTTTTAAATAATCTATCCTGGTGGCGTTTTGATGAGAAGTTAACATTTAACCACCCCTCTTGAATAGCGATGACCCAAAACTTCAGATGATATGAATGTAAACGTTTCCTATTGCGCCACAACGCACAGGCACCTATCGGCAAATGCTAAAACATTTCACTTAGCGTTTTAGACATTTTAATAGCTATGAGCCAATAAACAACACATGCCCTTCCAATTGTATATGAACTTTACCTTACAAGTTATGTTCAGTGTGCTTTATACGTAAATTTTCTACACACTGAAAGCAAGCTGCCTTGCCCTAAAACAAAACCAGTTTTGAAGTAGTATTA